TGTACTTTATTGCTACTTGGGTATTATGTACACCAGGACGTAAACCTTGATTTACACATATAATATATTATTGTTGATGTTTTTGGAAAATTGATTTGAGTGATTTTCTTTTAACAAATTTGAACTTGCCAATGTTACCCAAATTGGACAGAATAACATCAAGAAATGAGTAATAAAACAACAAAGAAATGCCAATGAAGGACAAAGTAACACCAAGTAAAATGGATGCAAAGTCGAGGCAAGAGTTGAACTTTTTGTTCTTAGGTCGATTTTGTCCCACAACAGTGTCTACAGATAATAGCGATCAACTCCAAGATACAACGACTACCTTCTTGTGTTTATAGCACTCTAATACCACAAGAACAACTAACCAAAAGATGGTTTTTGTACTCCTTTCCTTTGAAATGAAAGACGAATTTTATATAGAATTTTGGCTAGGATAATATGAATATTTTTTTTTTTTAAAGTCCCCCGCTCCTGGAGCAGCGTGAGTGAGGTAAATTGCAGGATGTACCCTAGCAGACCAGGGAAGAAAAGTTTGCCCGTACACTAGTGTCAACAAAGTGTCCAATTCCATATCTCAGGAATCGAACCCTCATACTGCGGTTGCCAACAAGACTGTGACTACCTCACTCCTATTCTTAGCACTACTGGGTTATGCCCCGAAGGGCAGGATAATATGAATTTTATATTATGCTATGATTGCATATGATTGGAATGTTGTAATGGACGTCCCAAGGATCTTATTTATAGAAGATGAGAGAATGTAAGTGAAGAGATACGTTCCAAAACTCACCAGCCTTCATGATGGGTGGCAATCCATTCTATTGCTGCCTTACTGCTGGAGCGTCGCTTGAGCACCAGCTGTGTTATTTTATGCAGAGACTTGTCTCTCGCTCTTATTACTAGTTCATGCTAGGCAAGTGGTGGAGTTAGGCAAATTCTTGTCCAGTTTTTCGTCTTTTCTTTCCCACTTTGGACCATAATTTCTCATTCATTCGTACTTGGTTTTGAGATTTCAAATATATCACGATCATTTACTCGACGAGTAGAATAAATTAGTACACGAAAGTCTTGTTTTTTATGGTTTTATACTTAACCACATTTTATCTCTTTTCAACCAAATTCCAACTATATATAGGCATAACTAACTAATTAAGTAGTTATCCATCAATTAAATTATATTTATAATTAATCTATTAATGACAATAGTTAACTAAAACAAAATTTAAATAAACAACAACATTACAATTAGAGACCCACTTAAATACATGGTTATCTTCAATTCTTCTTCTTATCTTCTGTAGTTCATTTCAAAGACATAACAGTATTCTTCTTCTCCAATACTATCACCATTTTTCATAAAATTCAAGCTCCCTCTCATATTTCCCATCGGTAAGTTTAATTCAATGCAAGATGGAAATAAGAAAACCAGATAACTAAGTATGTTTGGATGACATTTATCCTTGGTTCCTTCATGAAAACGAAAGCAGTAGAAACTCTGGAGGGAAGTTCTTTTTGATTGCACTTGTATGTGGTTTTAGCACATCATTTAGCACGGTGCTTAAAACAGATAAAAATTGGTTAAGTCATGTTTTCACATTTAAGTCTCTCTGACTTCTACTGAGACTTCTACTGATCTGTCCTGTACTTTTATCTAATTCTTAAGAAAAAGAGTGATACTTTAGAAGTCCAATTTGATACAAGTATTTGAAGGATTTATTGACTTAGGGTTTGCACTTCTAAAATTTTAATATGCTTCGGGACTGGTTTCTTATCATTTTTGGCTTGATTGTGGAAATGGAATAGTCAAAGAGCTGCTTTAAATCTTACATTTGTATTTGATAGAATGATAATGATTATTTTGAAATATTGCATCATTTTGTTCTTTGCTCATGCTCGATTGGACTCGTGGTCACTCGAGTTTACAGGGAAAGGAGTCAGAATTCAAACACGGTCTTTACATCTGATCAGGGAAGTTTCTGGTGAATTTAACATATTTATGCTGTGATTTGTTTTCGACCAGACAACTCTTTGTATCTGATTTGTTAAGGTGTTAGCTTCTTGGAGATTCTAGCACAACAAAATTAGCATACCTTATCTTTTCCTTGCAAGTCCAGGTTTTTGAATTCAAGACAATTCATATTATGACTTTTATGCAACCTTACACGATTATTTTTCAGTTTAATAAGTTCAGAGTAAATAAAGAATAGACTGATTTTCTTGTCTTCATATCCAGAATATACATCAAGGTTTCCAATTGCAATTGGGTGAGCTTTCCCCAAGCCAGAGAGGAGAATGTCTTGACACCCATAAATTGGTTTGTTGATTCTATTTCTAACAAATTCCAAGCAATTTTTTGCTGGAATAAGTTGGATGTATTTTCATGGTTTCTTACCAGTTGTAACCCCATTTTCTTCGGCTTGTTGACTGCTTGACCTGGAAATTACAAAATGATATTGACAATATATTGGAGGTTAGTTTTTTGGGATCTGAGTTCTATTTATCATATTAAGGTTTTGTTATAGATCGTGGGGGAGCCACATTTCAATAGCTAGCTGTTAAAGTTAGAGAATTCAAGTCTATATAAACTTCACACGAAAGCCCACATTTTCGATGGGAGATCCAAATCCCGTACCTTGTAATGGGAACCATGACAATCAACCATGCTCTTTAGTCTTGATGCCTACAACAACAGGCTTAGCACTAGCCACTTCTAGTCCCAGACAAACACTTCATGCCGGCCTCACCTTCAATGCCGCATGATTGCAACTAGGAGACGTGTTGACTTGCTCTAATACAATTGTTATTGATCTTGGCATAGCCATACCTCAAAAGCTAGTTGTTGAGTTGAAGATTCAGGTTTGTGTAAACCTCAAACGGAAAGCCCATACTCTCGATGTGGTATCCGATTCCATACCTTGCAATGGAACCATGAAGCTTTCTATTTTTATTTTCATATTTATGGTACATATGATATTTGAGCAGACTGAGTGATCCTTTCTATAGCATTATCCAAAATGGCTTAGCTTTTAGCCAATGCTGTTGTTGGATTTCTGAAGGAAGCAATTCTTCTTCCTGATCTTATCATGAAAATCCATGGATTTGTAAAATCTCTATCATCTACTTGCTTCCAAGAATATCCAAAAAAACAATACATGGTTCAACCATATCATGAACCTTGGTTCCGTAACTGTTCTTCTTGCAACATTTATGCCCCATGTATAAACATGTAGAGCAAAAATATGATGCGTTCCAACATGAATTGACACCAGTATACGGCAAATTTGTTGCTCGATGTTTATGAGTTTTCCCAATCTCTCTTTCTTTTTGTTACTGGTGTCTGAAACTGAAGCAGTCTGTATTGCATCAAGAGAGAACAAAATCATCTCCAGAATTATTAACATGTTCTTGAAAAGCTTCCTAGTGATGCTCGATGTCAAGCCAGAAAATATTTGGTTTAACCATTCCCGTAGAATGTCAAGCAAAATTCCCTGGAAAAAGACAGAAACACATTCGAATGATTATTTAATGTGATAAATGTTCATGTTCGTAAGGACAGCAGGAAACATACCAATCTCACAGATACTCTTCGGCTCTCAGTCAATCTTCAATCTGTACCAGGAACAGAAGACAATGCCTTTGACGCACAGAATGGTAGAAAATCCCAAGGGAATACAATGCAAAAGAAACTGAAACATTCAAGATTGTAGGTATTTTACATTCCCAAAGCCGACAAGCAACAACAGAAAATTGAAAGAACGCCAAGATTTTTTGTCCGTAGGCCCGGATGTTAATCCACAAAGGGCTAATCACCGTGTTGAGCATCCACTTTAAGTGGTCCAGAAGTTGGTCCAGACAGACAGTACAGACAGACCGTACAGGGTTGCAGCTGGCACAATGGTGCAATTAGACAGATTACTGTGATTTATGAGATTAAGAACACTATCTACACTAAACACCGGAGAGAATTAAATTAATATTATTTGTTCTAATACGGTGGGCCAAATGCACACTCAATAATGTATTTGGCATGGATATAATAGTTAATCTTGATTAGCTTTGGTGTTATGACGTTTGAATTTGTTACATTTCCATTATTCAAATTTTGTAGAATCAAACAGTTCTCTATGAGCGGTGTCAAAATTTATCAAATATTTGGGAAGCTCTATAAAGAACTACACATAATATTCTCCAATCGTGTTGAGTCGACCAGTTGTGCTCTTGAGTGGACTTCTTCGACTTGATTTGCAAAACATTTATTTTTGAAGCCAATAACTATATAAACACCCAGAATTGGATAAGGGAATTCTTTTATTTAGTTTAATTGAGGGATTTGTTATTACTAGTAAAAGTTGAATAGGCTTATCTTAATCAAAGAAGCCCCCAAAACCCCAATCAAAATATTTTTTTTATTATTGCATGGGATGTGATCCACCCAACCTCCCACACGAATTCCATACTTTTCACCAATTGAGTACTTCATCTAAATTGGTTGTTCATTTTACATATTATATTTATGATATAAATATCCAAGATAAACTCACTAATATCACTATATGCCAAACATGCACGCCTATTATGATCTACTTGGTTTCAACTAATATCGCAGGACTTGAAGAACCAGGAGGCAACAGTGACTGGTTTTGTTTATCCCAAAAAGGTGGTGAAGGCTGCTAAAGCAACTGGGAAAAAGTCTTAGCCATGGCCATAGTTGCCGTACACAATGATAGCTAACTATTAGTACAAGAAATCAAAAATAACCCAAAGTTCATACAAGTATCTCAAAGATTTACAACCAAAAGACTCATTAGCATCAGGATATCATCGATATTGGGCTCAGTCACATTGTGCCCTTCTGTACAAATCAAAAGAACCAACCCAAACCCTCAATGGCAAATCGAAGCTACTTCAACGAACTAGAAGTCCCCAAATCGAGACTCAAAATCACACAAAAAAACAGCAACCAAAAGTTGAAGATCGACACAGAGAAGACAAAGGGAAAGGGAAAAAACTCAGAGAGAAGATTCTAGAATCCACACAAAGAAATCAATCAGAAAAAGTGATTAAGACTATAGCCGCATCAATTTAATTTAAATTTTTCTCTCTCTTATTTTCAACCTCACAATCTTCAATAAAATAATAATTTACGTAAATCGAAAACTTTTCATTCTTTTACAATCATTCATTTTTCAAAAAAAATTATTCTCCCATTATAAATCCAAATAATGGGGGCGAAACGAGGGCTATACCCAACCATCACTGTAGATCTCAGATGAAATCAACAGTACAGAACAACAGATGATTTCTCACCATTTGAGGCAACTAAAGTCACTCATTCAAAGTGCGAGTTTGGCCAAATATTTGGGCTTGGGGAGTGGGCTTCTTCATTGAATTGTCGGGCAATGGAAATATAAATCGACAAGTGGGCTTAGCCCAGTTTTCATCATATCCCAATTTTTTGGACAGGGTTTTGGCATCACAACTCAAACAGTCACCCTTGTGTTGCTGGAGTTTATGACGAAATGGCACCTCCTAATTATGTCAGAGGCACTGATGATTCAGCTATTGCAACTCTAAATCCAGTTGAAGAACAGTACATTCTCTTGTTTAGTGATGATAATCCAAATACATGCCCTATCATGTAATTGAGATTAACCATGGAATTTATGTTTTTAATCATTCTTTTGCTTGTGTCTTCATCTCCATCCTATTACCATGTTCGGTAACTTGATCGGACTATACAAGACAACTTATAAGTTTTATTACATCTTTCTTCATCGATTATGTTCAATTTGATCTATTTTAACTTACTAATATCTCTTACCGTTTAGTTTTCACTTATAAGAAAAAAATTAATTTTAATTGAAAAAATTCACCTAATGTAAAGATTCATTCATAAGTTAAATCACAAATAAATTTACTTATTACAGTAAAAATATTCAACTTATAAGTAAATTTACCTACAAGTAAAAAAAATATCATCGATTAAAATTTCTTTTCAGCACTTTTATGTTCTCTATTATGGTATACTAGAATAATCTACATTAATCATATCCCCCTTAATTCCATCCCTGTTAAGATAACAAACATTCCCTTATTCAATATTGTATACCGAACGCAACCTAAATTATTTACATAATACTAGGTTCGTATGCTACTAAATTTATTTATTTATTTATTTATTGTTTTGCACAAGGTTGTTGGAGACAAAATTAACACCAAAGGCCATCCCCATTGTAATTAAGCAATTACACGACATTTACGAGATGAAAACATTCTGGTCTGGTCACAATAGGGAGTTAAAGATTAGAAATGGAAATACAAGCTCCACTTTTCAAGTATAAATACAGTAGAATTGGTGTTGGCCTCAAGAACGGCATACAGAAAAACAAGAAACGTTGCAACGTATTAACCAAGATTCAATACGTATGCAGACAAATTTTCTGCCGTACCATTATTAATAACAAGACTTTATTATGTCTTCGATACTCTTCAATCTGTCAGTAGCACGATATCTCCTTTAAATCGTATGAGGAGATCACTGAAGGTCGAAAGAAAAGAAATAAAGTTCGAAGAAAATTTTAGTCTCAGATGAAGTTTCGGATGTCTAATGACTTCACGTTGGGCATTTCTTCATCTTTGAACTCCTCCCTAGCAAAATAATATAAACCTCAACAATAAAATTCGTGTTTAGGGAAATTTATGCTGTGACCGCTAAACTTGTATGTGGAATTAAGAAGATATACCGCTTCTTCTGAGTGTCCATTGCTTCAAGAGCATCCTTCTTCAGCTCCTCCAGCTGAGCTTTTGCTATTTTGAATTCCAACTGTTCTTCGTATTTGGGCAGATCTTCTCTACGTATGCCAAGTCTACACAAGTAGAATGGTAAAACTGTAAAATACAGTAAGAAACACCCAGACTTTTACCCACATAGCATTTTCACCATGCTAGGCAGACTACAAAACTTGTAAATAAAACGACGACCCACAACATAGACCAAATGACACACACTGCAAATTCCAAGCTTGTTCATGGAGCTTACTTTTGGTTGATCTTATCAAATTCTGTCATTAGGAGGGCCATTCCCTTCTTATCATTCCTCATAAGTGGTTTCTTTAGTTCTTGCTCAACTTTTTCCAATGCATCCATCATCATAGCCTCTGCACCCTGTTCATCAGTAAGGCCCCTCCTGCCAAAACATTATGAAATGAATATGAATGAAGGAGAAGAGGACTGGATAAAGAGCATATGCCTAGCTCCAACATCAAGGTGCTCCAAGAAGAAGGTTTCATCGTAATACTGTCAACATAATGGCGGAGAATAAAAGGGCCACAGAACTATTTAAGCATATAAAAGAGTTCGTAGAATAGCAGGAAAATCCCATGACACAGGCGTCCAAAGATAATTCACGGAGTATCTGAGAATAATGGTATACAAGCCTAACTTTAAGAAACTACTGCAAAGATAATCACTTCATGTTTTAGACTTGGAAATTCAACGATTATAAAATCCCCCAAATTTCAAATGTACATTTTCGGAGGAAGTTGTCATACAAAAAATTCATCCATAAATTAGAAGAAAGGAAAACTTTATATCGATATCAATACATCCAATAGAGAAAAAGTACATACTTGATCCTAATCTCCTTCAATGCCAGTAAATAAGATCGAGCATCCGGAATACCCTGTGTTCGTGACTCGATAGTGTATTTGATCCTCTGTGACTCTGAAAACAGATCAGCTCTGCACATATAAAACAAATCATTAAACAAATAAACAGAATATAATCAAATTAAGACCCAACAATAGTAAGCTTAATATAATTGACAAAGAAGGATAAAACAACAAAAACAGAAAACCAGGGTTGGACTCCCAAACCTTTCGCGTGGTGTGGTTATGGTCTTGAACCTTCAAAAGTGAGGTTTTGGGTGCCCTAACCAATTTGAATATGTGAAATTAGATCCACATGTGACGAAAATCATCAATTTGGACATTAAAATTGCACGCAACTATCAGTTGGAGATGAATGTAAGTGGTTAAACAGTTTTGCCATCTAACTGTGATCATGTGAAAGCCATATGCGATTTGAACTTCTAAATTAATAGTTTCAGTCACGTGGGGACTCGTATTCATTTATTTAAATAGATTGGACACTCAAAACCTCACTTTTGAAGGTTGAGGACTATAATCACACTATGTTAAAGCTCAGGAAGCTCAGCCCTTATTTCACCCCATGAAAATGATCTAGCAATTATATAACAGGTGAGGTAAGGAGAAAAGTCAACATTAACAGAAGCATAGAGTGCAAAATAAACGTGATCACATGAAACTTGGGCAGAAATTATAACAGCTACAATTAATGCATAGAAAAGGAAACAACAATAAAGCAAATAATATAAAGGCCCTTAGGAAGCAAAAAGATACAATTATAAGTCAAACATGTCAATAATACATTTTAATAAAAAAATAAAAAATAAAAAATAAAAGATAATCAAAATTCTAGAACCATGTCAATGACAAGTGATCAAAGAGTCACTCAAATTGCGCATGGCGATGAAATGACATGACGAGTTAATAAATTGTCTCATGCTCGATGTGCACAGCGCTATATGCTTTATGTGAGTGAGAATGAACACTAACTACAATACCATGTTTCTCAAACTGCTGGCGACCTTCAAGAACAACTGTCAGATATTTGTCTGGGATATCTTTAACCTAGTCCACATGCATAGTAATTTAACCAAGATATAGTTCCAACAGGCGAGCAGTGAATAAAATGAACTTCACACCGAGATGCTCAAGCCAATAGTCAGTTAAAACTGAAGGTGCAAAATTATTTAAAATTAACCTATCTACATCTCTCACTTTCAATATAAAATTTTACTATTACGAGACGCGGAGTAGCTCTTAAACCAATGAGCTTACGGCTTTAGCGAAGGTCTCCTTATTTATGACGAAATTTAGATCAGGTTGCGTGAAAGGAAAGCGAGTTAGCGAGTTAAAGAATGAGAATCCAAGTTTTTCATTCTGGGTAGAGGAGCGTTTTGTAAACAAGATTAGATATGGAAAACTTGGACAGGCCCACTAAACCAAGACTTTCTACTAAAACAGCTAAAAGATCTTACTTCTGTCTTACAGTCTTCATGACTCTGGCATATTCAGACACAGCAGCAGGATCATCAGGATCTATGGTGATCTTCTCTTTTTGGAGAATCCCAAGGGCTGTCTCAAATTTCTTTTTCACCTCCAGAAAAATTCCCTTCAACATCTCTTCAGATGTACGTGCAAGTCAGAAGCTCAAAACTTACAATATTATACACAGGCACACAGCATAACATATTTCTTTAATCATACGTATATTGGAAGTGTTGGAAACGTAAATCATTTAGAACCATTGACGTCATAGCTCAACGCCCTAAATATAAAGGATATAGCGTGTAATATCTGAAGTTTTTATTTTCATTTCGGGTTCAAATACCAGTGTGTTGTAACATCATTGACATAGAAAAAATTGGAGAACCCACAACAGATCTATTTTTTCAAATTAAAAAGAAAAAGAAAAAGAAATGAGTAACGTCAATGAAATAAAAAAAATTGGAAGTCGAGTCCTTTCATAAACATGAATTGTTAACCATCAGTGCTGCCATCTTTCCTATGAAAAAGAAATCGACCACATAGCAAACTAGCATCGCATCATCCTCTAAACAGGGATTTCACCAATCACGTCACCATCAGTGATTATTATTAGAAAATCTTTCCCAAAGTTGCTATGATGCTATCTAAATATCATTTACGCATCTAGCTCAACCAACCCTGGTTCCTCTGGTAATGCTTCTTGGTGGTTCTCTCACAAATTCATTTATAATTTAATTCTTCAACTTGTGTTATACACGTTAAACAGGTGTAAACTGCTCAAAACATATTTTTCGGATAGTTCGTTCTATTTTCCTAAATTCAGTTCCACGCCTTTAGACTGCTAATTTTGTAGTGTTAAGATTAACTAAAACAAGGGCTTAGATGTTCTTAGCCATTATCAAGAAAGAATCCATTTTAATCCCACCACCAACACCAGACTTAAATAATCACAACACTCCAATAATTGTTGTGAGGCTTAACAAAAACGACTCACCATCACCCTTCAGAGCAGAGGGAGCAGAACCAGTGGCTTTGGCAAATGAACGAGCAGAACTCGCCTGCTCCGGTTGCAGGATCATATGCCCAGTATACACCTACAAAAATAAAAAAATAAAAAATAAAAAGATTTCAGACGAATCATCCACATTTTATCGAATTCAAAAATATTAATAATAACAACAAAAACAGTAATAATTAGAGACGCAAATGTAAAATATTTTTGAAATACAAATTTAAATTTCTCCTTCACAAAAAAATAAACTAAAACCCTACCCGTTAATTTATACAAAAGTAAAAACATTTTGGATATTTTGAGGCTAGATCTATTTATTAGAAGGAATTAAAAGAAAAAAATAATCCAAAATACAATAAAGAGATCAATGAAACCTGGCGAGTGGATCTATAGAGAAAGCGAGAGGCCAAAGGCATTTTGGGTTGGAAAAGCAACTTTCTGAGTCTCACTCTTACGAGTTATGGTGTTTCCTTTCTGGTTTTCAGCTGACTAGTTAATTTTCTTCTTCGTTTGGGGGATAGAAAAAAGAAAACTGAAAATAATACAAAAAGGCCAATAGCGTAGTATTGGTCCTACTGGTGGTCTAGTTTTATTTTCGGGCCTGTGTCCCTTGGACCGGTGGGCTTTTGTAAGCAATATCTTTCATACAGTTGTGGATCCGTGTGTTTTTAAAAGGGAGAAATTCATAATCAAGGTATATTACTTACACCAATTAAAAAATCAAGTACATAGTTCGAAAATTCAAAATTCATGTATATATTTAATTAATTAAAAATATTTATTAAATAAATATAATAAAGTTACAGTTTACGATTAATGATCACAAATTTATAATTATATGTCACAAAATTATTTACTCGATTAATGATCACAAATTCATAATTTTAGGTCACAGATTTATTTGTTAGTAACATATCATCAAATCAATTGATCATAAATTATTTCGTGGTCACAAATCAAAAATTTTATAGGTCATGGATTATTTCGAGGTCACAGATCATTCAAATTACAGGTCATATTTTATCTATGGGTCACATATTTTCAAGTTTATTGGTCACAGATTAATAATTAGTCCAATTAGTTGGTCACATGCACTAAACACCCCCACGACCTATTTTGATCCAGTACTAATCTTGATCACAATTTACCACCACATAACCACAGCTTGCACCACACCACCGTAACCTTACCACCACTGCTATAACCCAAATTGGCACCACAATCACTACCCAACCTCACTACCAAAGCCAGCACCACTACCACTAGCAAAACACACAACCAAATAGTTTGTTCACATGCATCAAACATTCCACCCCCAATTCGATCATTCAGCAATACCTAGTCTCAAATCAACCAAATAGTCGATCACAAACATTATCCCACCCCCACCTCCACCACATTATCCCCGTAACCACCACCAACAAAAAAATCAACACAAACACGCAACCATCACCACCACCATCACTGCCCCTTACCACCGGCCAAATTCAACAAAACCCCAAACGGCTAGATCCACCAACACCGCCACATTACCATGACCCGCATCACCATAGAAATCCTAGCCAACTTTCACCACCACCGCACACCACCACCACCGCTACCAACAAATATCGCAGTAAATTTAATTGGCAAATCACCAACAAAAAAAAAAAAAAACTCCCACAGTAGATCGGTTAAAAAAAAACTCCTAAAAAAGCATTGAAGCTTCGTTGTGCAGTAGCGTCGCCTTATTGTGCGTCGCGGCGTTGTCCGCAGTGAGGCACTGCCAAGTTTTTCTTAGCGATGCAACTGCTTCGCCGCTTTGAGCAGTAAGCATCGTTGCCTGCTGGTGCTGCTGTTATTTGAAGCCGCCGAAATTAAGGAAGAGAGAGGTTGAGAAGATGGTGCCACGCTGGATGATAGTGGGTGCAACGCCAGAATAGTGAGGGAAGAGGTAGGTCGAGATAGAGAGGAGAGAAATAGGGACAGAAAGAAGGAAAGGGAGAGAGAGAGATGAGTGTTTTGGAGAAAAATGATTTAGGGTTTGTGTGGGATATTAACTCAATACCTATATTTTGATTAAAAATTCTTTTCACCTAATTTTTGCACTTTGAAATTAAAATGCTCTTGTCTGTGTAATTACCACTTTTTAAAATTAAAATTTGATCAATTAAAAAATAGGAAAAAATTCATAACGTTTAGATATCACCTATTTCAAAATTAAGAATAAAAATTTCAATTTTTAAAAATCAAATATTTATTAAATTTTTTTATGATTAAATTTATTTATTAAATATATTAAGCTCATATATCTATTTATATAATTTGGTCGCAAATTAACGATTTAATTATTTACATATTATTTTTCGATTACAAATCAGAATTTTAATATGTCACAAATTATTTTATGATCACAACTAAAAAACTTTATAGGTCACAATTTATTTATCGGTCACAAGTCAAAAATTTGTAATTTACTAATTATTTATCGGTTACAAATCACAAATGTTATAAGTCACAAATTATTATATAATCACAAATTATCAAATTATAGGTCACAAATTAATAATTTAGGTCATACATTATTTTTTGATCACAATTTATCTTTTTTATTAATCACATATTATTTATTGATCACAGCTTAAACAATTTAATGGTCACGGTCAACTAAATCATTTGTGGCCATCACCAGCACTTGTGACCACCACCTCAACACTATTACAAACCGCATCACCACCAAAATTGTCGTCGCCAAAGCCACTACCACCCAATCCCTACCTCCATCCCGACCACAATCACAACCACTGCTAGAGCACCACCAATGCCATTACGACGATCACCACCACCACCATCGGATGCACCCCCCAAATCCATCCTACCAACTCTAAATTTACCATCAGAAGTGCCCAATCTATCACCACCACAGCCAATAAAACCACCCCAACATCACCACATCATGGAAACCACCACCACTAACAAATAAAAATCAATCAAATATTCATGCCCAAAAACCATTCAAAAGATAATTTCAAAACCATGGTGAATCCAAAACAACAGATCTGAAACCACAACCACCGTCGTCATCACCAACACCGCCAATATTCTTCACCTAGCTGGAAGCCATTCCACGGATGTATCACGCCACCTTCATCCTCTTCAACAATCTCATAGCACATCGTTAGAACGGCTCTGCACTTCTGCACAGCGATACCATAGTCCCATTGAATTAGGACGCAAAGAGGCTTTGGTGTGCATCTTCGAATAGCAAATCCATTTACAGTGGAGAATTTGGGCAGTTTACAAATATTGACTTCAATTAATTTGGACACAGAGAGAGGATGAGAAAGTGGAGAGAGACTGAGGGGAAATGGATATATAATTAATTTATAACGATAATATATTTATCTAATAATAATATATTAATTAACAAAATATCTGATTTTTGAAATAGTAAATATAGCATATGATTTATGAAATGGGATCTTTAAAAGTAGGATCTATGTAGTTTTCACTAAAAAAATATATGGAAATTATAGCTACTCTTTAAAATGCCAAATTCAAAAATCAGATTTTAAAAATTTTTTGTTCAAAAATCAGATAATCTCTTAAATATCAATAAAAATATTATAAAATTAAATTTAATCTGCATATTCACTCTTTCATTTTCAAACCCTAATCATTTTTCCATTTCTTCTCTCTCTACCCTCTTCTTTCTCTCTGTACATTCTCTCCCTTCTCTCTATTGCAATCATCATCAGAGATGCCCTCTCCACCGTAACAGCATTGGTTTGAAGTAACCAACATTGTTGGAAGACACATCATTTTGATGCATCCAACGTTGCTGCGAACTGGCATTGTAACCGACGCAATTTCCACTATGTAGTGGAGTCTCTATTTTCACCACTGTACAGCCTCCCTAACAGCGACGTGAGTGATGCTCAAGTAGTCTTTGACGCTGCAGTGGAGAAATATGGTGATGCTGCTTGTAGTGGTGTTGGTGTTGATGTTGTGTTGGATTGGTGGTGTTGTGGATGCTGTGGTGGTGATTTTCGATTTCCATGGTGTGTGGTAGTGGTGGTTTTTCGTTGCTGTGGTGGTCGTGGTGCGAGGAATGGGATTGTATGTTTGTGACTAATTATTTGACTATGTGTGACCAATAAATTAGGGCCAATTGGCACAAAATGTTCCTACCTTTCAAGTTTATTGTGAAAAACGTGCTTACCTTTCATTTTTTGACATTTTTGCCTCTATTTCCACTTTTCTTTACGCTGAACATCCTTTTTACCAATTTTTTTTTACGCAAAATGACCAAAATACCCTCATATTTAAATACTAGTCTTCATCTCATGGGTTGCACAAATATTGTATTTATTATGTTATTATTAGTGTAGAATGTGTAGAATTTAGAAAAAGTTTTTGAAGTTTTTGAAAATGAGAAATATTTGTGTCCTTGTTGTTTTTATAGTCATTTTTATAAGTTATTTTAATTTCTAAACCATTTGTTTAATGTAGATGAATTTTTTTTTTTCTACATTTTAGCATAAGAAGGCGTTCACATTTTCGTTTGTTTCCCCGGTATTTGAGAAAAAACTACACCATTTTGTTTAATTAGTACAGTGATATTTCCCCTTTCTCACCCGAAATTCTTTACTTTTTCACATAAATTACACCTTATTTCTTCTTCTCTTATCCCTTCTTTAAAGTTTAATGTGTACTTCTTATTTCTATTTTGTTTTTATTATTTGTGTATTAATAAATTTGTTTTTCAGATTTTTCCAGTGTCCAATCTTAGATTTGATTTTTTTATAGTGGTAAGTTACTTTCCTTTTTTTCCCTTCTTTTCTCCTTCTTTGGTTATTTGCTTTATATTTTTTCACTTTTTTTCCTCTTTTTTTCAATTGGCTTCTATTAATTTTTTTTTTTTTTTGAAAAATATATACTATTGGATCTTTTTATTTTTTTAGTTAGTTGACTCAAAATTTTGAGAATTTTGGGTTAGAATGTGTTATTTAGTTGTCTGTAATTTTGTATTGTCTTTGCTAAAATTCACTTTTGAAATTCCTTTGGTCTTTTGTATTTGTGTTATTTCCATGAAGATTTGTAATGTTATGAGAAGTGGAAATGTTTGATTAATTGAGGGAATGGTTTTAAGGGAATGAATTGGTTGAGGTTTGGAAGTTCCAAACTTCGAAATTAATGGAATTGGTTTCATTTAAAGGTATTATATTAATGGTGATACATGTAGATATATACAATGATTTATCAACTTTGATTGAAAAGAGCATACCTTCGAACCCGAAAATTAATTTTCCACTACGGAGTCCAACACTTTCCTTTACAGCATTTATAAGATTTTTCATCCCAATGTACACCATTTCAGGTAGACCACCTTTAATCTGCTTTCACCAATCAAACAAAGGACCAAACTTAATTGCCAGTGAGTAAGTGAATATGATCTTATTCAGCTACCGTTTACAGATTATCATTATTTTGTAATTATTATATAGTAAGCTTGGCCTCGAATAAATGAAGAAAGCACAGAAA